AGGAGGAGGGTTAGGGCACACAATGCTACGTGACTCACGCAAGTCTTTTTGAATGTTAGTTTCCCTATCACCAAACATGAGTAACAGCGCAACAGCAACCCCAAAGGGCTTTCCAGCTTGAAAATATGAAAATATGGCACCGCTCTGACACTGAGACATGTGGTCCCTCCCCCTGCAAGTTCCTTGTTTTTTTCAGTGAAACAACGTGTGAAGTACCTGCAGGAATCTTAAGGTTCAAGCCTTTGGCAGCCATGGAACCTCTAAATTCCACACAGGGCAATGATAATATTTTAACATCTTCTAGCTATAATTGTTTCTAAGTGATGTGAGCATCAGTGTTTGAGGGGCAAGTACAGCACTAAGGCCTCATCTGTCTTAAGGTATTTTTTTTAGCAGGTTGATAGCATCCCTTCCTCCCCTGACCCCTCCATCCCGTCAGCAAGAACAAGAGAGTATAACTAGGCTGATGGGGTTTCCCCACATTCTCCAACAAGGAACTAAATGGACCAATCCTCAGAGGGAATGGCAATTAGGACACCAAAGTGTCTGCTAGCTGCTCCTTTGCACAAGACAAATGCTATGTGCTGGGACAGTGCAAGCAACTAGGTCCCTGGCCAAGATGAACCATTTGTTCTGTGGCCCCCACTGGGCAGAGACTAAGAAGGAAAGTACAGAGAACATAGAAAAGCCAGAGGTTTACAAAGATAGAACAGGCTTCCCTAGGAGGTAGTGAGTTCCCTGACCTCAGAGTTGTTTAAGCCCACTGCTCAAACCCTGGTGGGACAGTTGCAGGCAGAATGTCAGCACCTATGGGGAGATTGGACTGGACAACTTAAAGCCCTTTCCCAACTTTTGGACCTTGTCCTTGTAATGACTGGGAGCCTTCAGATGATTTCCATGAAGCAACTACTCTGGGATCCATGGTCGGAACAACCTATTTCAACAGGCAATGTCCCCACAGTAAGTTCCTTCTCCTACTTTCTCCCTTCTACCAGGCAGTTGTCCTGGAGCATATTAACAAAAAGTTCCCACAAAATAAACAGCTGAAATGCCAAGGTTGGATGCAACATTCCAGCTGGAAACAATTATTAATATCTGTCCTCTGGAAGGCTAGCAGTAAATATTCAACTATGAAAATAACATGTAACAACTTGGCAGCTGTAATACATAAGTGAAATTCCTCTTCGTTTTACAGCACCGGTCTTGAATCCTTTGGTCTCACTCTTTCACAGCATTCACTATGATCTTTTTCACATGCTGTTGCCAACCTAAGGGTCTGTTCATTGAAGTAAGAAATTTGTGCATTTGTGTTTTTTAAAAACCTTAAAATGAAGCAGCATGAATGGCAGAATATTAACATTTCTATATGACAACCTTCAGGACATATGAAGAACCACACCAGGTGTCAACTGAGGCAGGAACTGTACTCTTTAAGAAGATAATGCCAGTTCTGGATTTCAAATTCCAGTTTTACTCAGGAGCACCAAGAGGAGAGAAGGTGATGCTGCAACATTACATGTGGAGAGAAGCACAAGAGCCCTTAGCAG